CTACGTGAACAATATCAAGAAAACAGAATTTTTGGAGCCAATAGACCCTTTGCAATCGTTAGCACTTCCCAGAATGTTCCATTGGCTAGCCATTTTATAGCTGTACACTATGCAGCATAAGGCTTGGCTTAAGAATCTCGAGTCAGAATAAATATCGTGAAGTCGAACCAAGCTAATCAGTGATCTATCTTGTGTTGATAATGCTTTACAGAAGTATCTAGTTAAAAAGTTTTAGCTTCAGACTTGAGCTCGGTTTAATTGATAAAAGGGGTATCAAAGTTAGATTAAAGAAATTGGTAATAACTCTTAATTTTAATTCTGTCGCTCTTGTCAAGAGGTGCTTGCTAACACTGTCTAGTATGTCATTACTATTTCCCTGCAGGGGGTTGTTAAGGGGCCAACATAAGGCCTTAAAATTTTCCCTCTGTTGCCCAAGTGAGAAGACAAGCGCTATACGACGTGTTGTAGTATAAAACACAAGATCAACTTAGTTTTTTATGATCATCTTTTTATTATTATTTGTTAAAGTCAACATCCACAGCTTAAAAATGTATTTTTAAATGGAGAAAAATTGGAACTGTGTCGAATCAGTACGCGGAAAAATACAGTCACCTCATAGACGTATGGCATTAAAATATGTTTGAGCAGTTCTAGAGAACATCAGTTATATGCCCACACATGTCAGAAGTAGACCCGATACCTCGCTGGATAAAACTGAAGTACTCACCTGCACAGGGAGTGCAAGAGAAACTGAAATATTTGCTCTATCTAGCCATTAGATAAATCAGGCCACAATGTCATCGTTATTGCTTATGATTGTGTTAAGCTGATAAAAGCCCAATAGACATCTTCTATTAGCATCTGTAATCTTTAGCACTTCCTAGTTACCATTATCGACGTTAGACTCTTTCATATTTTCCAAAAAGTGTCTCACTATGGAGTTATGGCGTCCAAGCTAAAAAAGGCAAAACAATGCGTCAGTATGTCAACGATTAAACGAAACAAAGTGTTATGTAAAATAAAAGCGAGCAAAATAGGTCAGAGGAAAATTTCGGTAGATGATCCAAAACCATCAAAATAATGATTAGTTGACTCCATTTTATTGATATTTGGGACAATTTAAATAGCCCAAAAGCTAGTTTATAACAAGTGTTAGTTTAAGAAAAAATTACCGTTTTTGTTCTTAATTACGAGCTCACCTTTCATAAGATGATGATTAGCCGGATTAACCATGTGCCTTAAGTGCTTTTATGGGTTTCTAGGAAGGGTAAGTGCTATCCCTGTCACTAAATTACAATTTCCTTTCGCTTAACCCCCCCCCCTCCAACTTGATAAATGCAAATTTTTATGCAAAATTTCCTTCTAACTAAATAGGGTGCAAGGTCTAGACCATCTTTAATGCCTGCTCGATAGCGATTGGTTTATGAAAG